GGGAGTGGAGGAACAGTGGAAGCAGAGAAGATATGAAGAAAAGGGTGAAGCATTGTGTTGTTGCTTACGAAAGCACTTTGAGTCAGACTGTCGATAAATAGAATTATGCACAAGTTTCATTGCTTCCATTTTTGCCTTTTTGTTTCCACAATCTTTTTTTTGTTCTCTCTCCAATATATCAAATTAATGACATATAATAACAATATTTGCTAGTGAGCTCGGTTTATAAGCAAAATGACATGTAGAGAAAACCAAAACAAGTTTACTTTATGTATATTGTATAATCTTGAATATTGGAGAGAGAGAGAAAAGCTGGAAAATAAAGAGAATCAGAAGAGGGGAATAGTGAGAAGATCGTAAATAGAAATAGAACTGTTGCATCAATGGGACAGTTCCATTTTTGTGAGTTATGTATTTGCCAGTTTTGGAGCCCCAAACCCTATTATTGATCTTTCGATAACGACCTTTCGTACTATCCACTTTCTTCTTTTTAAACATACAATAAATGAAATAAATAAACCAATTTAACCATTTTTAAAAATACTTTTCCTTCTTTTTTTTTTGTGAACCAAAATCTTACGTTACTTTTCCTCATCTACGAAGACTCCAATCCAATTGTTTACAAGTTTACAACCATAGAATGAGAATCTTACGTTATTGTTTATTGATTTAAGCAGAAGACCACAATTTCCTTACAATCTAACGTTACTTCATTTATTGGTTTCTTGATTTAAGGTGAGATCACACTTTCCTTCAAAAAATTATAAATACTTCAATTTTTGATCCAAACAAACTTCGTTTAAGTACCTAAAAAGGGTGTGTTCTAGGTGAATACTAAATAGTAAATACTGATGTCTGGAAAATACAGTAGAGATGTTTTAGGCTTTGTTTGGGTTGTTGGTTTTTTTATTGTATTGGACATAGAAGAATAATAGCAAAGATAAACTTGAATATAATAAAAATTTGGTTTAATATTGTTTTACTTTTGGCGTGGGTTCAATTGTTAAGCTGCATATTTATTTTCTTATGAAACTTGAGTTATGTGTAGGTGTTTGTTTTCCATTCACATCCGATTTAGACC